CGAGGTATTTTTAATGTATAACCCGTCCTCTGAACTTGAGACATGTCCTGAAGATAAAGCTGGTGTATTTCTGAACATGCCAACTCTGTATGTACACAGCACGTCCATACAGATAAACACATCTGGTACAGCATCATACAACCTGGATGTCACTGGGCTAGCCAGACAACAAGAGCCTGGGAGTAGAGCGATACAGCCACAGCTACTGATTTTGGTGAGTTTTGACCAGGTCATAAGGAACAAAACCAAATTTCTTGGACTCTAGCGATAGGAAAACAACAACAGGATGGGAAATTAATAGGTGATTTACTACAAAAGTAATTACAGCTGATCACTTCATTGTGTTCATGAAGGGTTTGAGGAGGGAAACTTGCTATTCCTGTCAAGTTTTGAGAGCCTTTCATCTTCCATGGATAGGTGGAAATTTGAAATGTGCAAGAAGAAAGGATGAAGTGAATAGAATTTCTAAAGGGCGTTACTGTTTTATAACCATGAGTCAGTTTTTCATCTAGGGCATAAGAAGTGATGCCAAGTGGCAAATAATGAAATATTTCTTAAGCTGTTGGCTGGATCCTCCACCACTGCTAATTGATGCAGCCCCAGAGATTTTCAATAAAGCTATGGCAACTTGGGAAAGCTCAGGGTGTGCTCTGTTCTATTGCTCCTCACTGTGATTAGGAAACACGCTGTAACAATGAGGATTGTGTATCCTTAATAAATACATATATAAATACAAACAGGACATCCACAATACAGAGCTTCTGAATACTTCAGAGAGGGTTCAGCCTTTTAATTCAAAACAGATAGTTAAAGTTCATATCTTTATGGTAGCATGATGTCATCTGTCTGAATAAATCTGGAGTTGCATCTCATTTAATAAGATTATATGGACAGAGTGGAAGCAATCTGCTTGAACGTTTCTTGGCTGAATGGTTTCAAAAGCATCTTTTGACACTGATTTGTTGAATGGATGATTGTGAGCAACATAAAAACAAATTAAAAGTTTTAAGTGCTTGGGCTAGATTCTCAGCTAGTAAAAAGCAAAGGTGGTCCATTAAATTCAGCATGGCTTTGCTCATTTGTATCTACTGAAGATCTGGCTCTTTTTGCTTAATGTGACTATACATATGCTTGGGCATAGAATTATACTCGGCAGACAATTTATTCTAGTACTGAGCATCCTTTAGCCCTACGCTGCCAACAGGAGTTGGAGCATTTGTCAGCTCCAGAAGTTAAAGAATTAGTTCCTGTGTTCTTGCAACTAAAATAGTTAGGAAAACCACTGGAGGCCCTGTTCTGCTAGACATGGGGAATTTGATGGAATTATATGGCTTTTACATACATAAATTGTGCGGTCTAATTTACAGCAACAGATAAGTATCACACATTCATCTACACTCATTACACAGTGAAAACTCACCAATCTTTAAAATTAAGCCCTGCCACTGTCAAGCCAAATGCTTACAGGTGCTCCCTTCAGAGCTTGGCCCAGTGCTTCTTCCAATTTACCATAAACTCTTTAGTCTCCCAATTTTCTGTTGCATGCTATTCGTCATCCTTTTCCTGTTGCGTCCACCCGATCTGCACAAACCGCTGGCTTTTCCTGGCTCCCTACTCCTGTTTTGCTCTTCCCCATCTGCTCTCCTGCCCTATTTCACTGTCCTGGGCAGCCGATATAAATGTGCAGGTTAACATTTTTGCTCAGTCTCCCTCTCCTGTGCACTAAGGGCAGGTAGTACATAGGAACCAGCAACAACGCTAACACCTGAAACCATATCTAAACAAGTGGAGAAAAAAGTGGAAAAGTATTTAGATAGAAATGGGAAAAAGAAGACTGGACAAGTGAAAACAGGTCTGCCTGCTCTAGCTTGCCCCCCAATTTTAGTTCAAAAGAGCAATATAAAGGGATGGTATTCAAATCCTGTGCTTGTTTACCAGATGCTGGGTTTTCTGGAGTTTGTGGTTTGGGGTTTGTTTGTTGTTTTTTTTTTTAAAGCTAGCAACACAAAATCTGGCACCTCACACCATATTCTGTTTTCCATGACATGAGCAGAATGCAGATGGAAACTGCAGTGGGTCATATGCATGACCCACTGAGAGCAAAATTTCAACTTAATGAGCTTAAACTGAATTTAGGAAAATAGTCTTGCAGCTTCTAATCAACTACCAGAATTAGTTTCTTGGGGTTAAAACATCATTTTTAGACAAAAAGGGTAATATTTGAACACCAGTTCGGCATCCCAGGAACAAAACGGATCTGCAGCCATTTCCATTTAAATTCAGAAGGAAATCAGTCTTTGTACATCACGGTGGAAGATGGCTGCCAGCTGCAGTCAGGGAAGCATCTCCCCTCCGTACCACGGCATTTAAAAGATCGCGTAATTATAGTTGATCTAGCGCTCACAGAAGTCAAAGGAAAGCCATTCATCGACTGTAATGGGCTTTGGAACAGCTTCAGAATTTCTCCAGCATATGTACTCCTGACACTTTGGAAACCAAAAGCCTCCCAGTTTAACTACACTCATCCGCAGCTAAAAAAGGAAGAAAGTGTTTTCACATCTTTCTTTCATCTAATATAAACACAACCCAGCACAACTGACCATCAACTGTCTATTAAATGGACTATTTGTTGAAGGAAATAAGTATGGCGAGTTAGTATTTACCCATGGACCATTTGACGACAATCAAGGCTTTGAAAGCGGGCACTTTTCTTTCAAAGGAAACAATCTAAAGCACTCGAACCTTTTGTCCCCCCCAAAAAAAAGAAAGAAAAATTCTGAGAAGTGTAAGCCAGGATTGCCCCTCCTTTCACCAAAAGCTCTTTTTTAATTATCCTGGTTCATCCATGAGCATGGGATAATAAAAGCAGGCACAGAGCAAGTTTGCTGCAGCTCTCACCTTTGTGGTGGTTTCTATTAGATATTTTTAAGTCTCTCAGCTTTTCAACAGAAAGCCAAATCTTCCACCAAGCGAAGGGAACAAGCATAACCCCCGACCCTCAAACATTTTCCAATCAACTCATTTCCTCAGGTAAAAAACATTATCCACAAAAGTTACCATTTTAGGGAAAAAAGGCCTGAATCTTAAAATCAGATCATACCATATCACAAGATTTATAATAAATCCTTCCATATGCATAACAAACATTTCAACACTCCTGTTTTTTTTTTTCCTAGCACTGAGTGGTATCTGCTCTGCACACATTTTAACACTGAACGGGTTTCCAAAGGAGGCTTTCGCTGAATTATTTTATAGGCACTATTGAGGACTAACTCCAGAGAGGAAGATACTTAATCATTGCTGAGAATCCCCAGGTAGCTCCACAAATCCACAGGTTTTTGTGATCAAGATGTATTTACCATGTTCTTTAGCATTTTCTTCTTGACTTCTGAGGAGTTTGCAGTTCTTCAGACATACTTGATTATTCACAGATTGCGTTGCTGGGCATAAGCCCAATTTAGCTATAGACCTTAACTCCCCAATTACCATCCCCTTCTCTCCACTCCATCCATGGATCTAAGAAGCCTTCTGACAGAGAAGTTCATTATATTCAATTAATTTCTGAAAAAAAGATATGGTTTCACCTCTCCAAATGGAAGTCAAGGCTTATCCGTCCTGCGAAGGCAATGAGAAATCAGCCTAACTGAGCCTGGAAATTTGGGGTCTAGAGGCATTGATCTCAAAATCTAGTTATTGCTCTGAAGTAACATTTTCCAAGCACCCACATGATCTATAAACTCAGTCCTGCTTTCAAAAATTGCTATATTTAAGTTTTGTAGGTGTTGGTTACTTTCACTGGAAAGTAAACTTTGGAGATCCAAATCATATCTGAAACAGGACTAGGGGCACTTCCACAAAATTTTATTCATGAAGTCCATTTTCACAAGACTGGATTCAGTCTCCATGTCTATGATGAATCGCACCACAAACTCTATAGCTAGAGCATGACTGAAATGTCTCTGCATCCAGGATGCCAAGATGCTCTTCTGCATCTCAAAGCAACCTTGAACCATCTAAGAGCCCTCCTCAGTCTGAGACCAAGGGAAGTCCAATAAAACTGGATTTCTTCATGAAGAGTGGCAGAAGCTTGACCAAACACACACATAGGCTGGCAACCTGAGCTAAAGAGATTTCACCTTTAGCGACAGCCATGTATTTAATTTATTCAAGACTCTCTGCTGCCTCAGCCTCACAGCAAGAAAAAAACCCACAACCACCAAAAATACAAAAGGGGATTATTCGCCCAGATGAAGAGTTACCCTTGGACCTGACCTTTTTCATTTATGCAGTAAACCAGTGGTCGTTACAACCTCTTCCCAATATACGGGATGCCTGAAGCAATTAAAGAAACTGCTGGAACAGAAGAGGGGAATGCATTAATCTGTTGAACAGGAGAGTGCCACCCACTTCACATTATACCGAGACAGATGAGGCAAGCAACTGCCTGATCCAGAAAACATCTGCTAAACAGTATCAAAATTAATGATAACCAGAATGAGCTCTTTCATGGCCAATTCTCACCCAGCTGCTGGGAACCATCAAAAAGCCACTCACAGCAGCAGCCAATTAGTTACTAAGGCAAAAGAGTTTGCAGGAGCAGGATCTGAGCTCAGGGCACCGGCACAACTCGCATTTAACACCGCTGCACCTTTGGGTGGATTTGCAGTGTGCTGATACGTGGAAAGCCTCGTCTGGACCTTTTTCTCCCTGAATGCTCCAGGGTCAGAGTTTAGATACTCTGCCAGCACTCAACAAACCTTGACTTGCATCCCCAATACCATCACGCAGTTCTGAGCTGAAAGAGCAACTTTTCATTGAAAAAAAAAATCTACAATTTGAGTCACTAAGAACTGTCGAGCGAGCGTTAGGAGGCAGTCACTTTGAAATCCCACAGCAGTACACTCTTTCAAGTGTGTAAACTCATGTTTGTTTTAAAAAGTTACTGCAAGAATATTCAACACCAACACACACATTGTAAGAAAACTGTGGTTTTTTCCTACCTTTTCTTCTTGTAACTTCAAACCTTCTGGAGTCCTATAAGGAAAAAGAGAAATTTTTGTGGGGTTTTTTTTAATACAAGAATTGTTCAAAGGCAACACGAACAGAAACCCCTAAAAACACAGTCATTGCCCCAGAGAAGCATCTATGAAGCTCTACACAATAACTGAGGAGTAATTGCAAGCATACATTTCAGTTTGTCCACAGATACTTAATGGATCAATATATCACCTGAAATGATTCATCATTCTGTGATAAGTTACATGGTAGAGCACAGTATCTTTCTTTAAAATTGATTTCATTTTCCTCTATTGATGTTAAAAGGGAGCAGCTGGGAGCGTTATTATTACTATACCAAGGATTTAAGGTTGAGGAGGGAGGAGCCATTACAGATATTTTTAGCAGAGACTTGTTCAAATACCTGAATAATTTCAAAGCAACTGGACTACTCGTGCTTAGAGCTGAGGGCTCATTTCAATCTTTGCACACCTACATCATTTGCCCTATTTCTTGCAAAGCTTCACTACCATCTCTAATAAAGAAGCTTCTTTTTAAAAGACATTGCATAAAGTCTCAAAGGGTATTGCATTCCCAAACAACACTATCTACTTATACTAATGGTGAGACTCCAGAGGAATAAATATTTAATTCCAAGCAGTAACATTATTTATGGGTTAGTTACAAATACTTTTAATTTCCATCATTCGAGTTACTTCTTGCAACCGGTATTAAAAATAGTGGAATTGCAGAGGACTCTAAAAGACCACCTTGCCTGGAGTCACATTGACCTGGACAGTGCCCACTGATGGATGATGCAGCATTAACCCCACTGAGTGCACACTTAAACGTGGAAGACCCCAAAGCGCCATCAGGCCCCAGCACCGTCTCCACCATGGTACCCCCCACAGCACAGACACAGGGAAGAGGCACAAGCTCTCCAGACCCCTGCCAAAAGCTCATAAGGCAGGTTTTGCTCCTGTGGATGTGCTTTGTTTAACATCATTTCATTCCCTTAGTGCTCACTGTTCTCAGATGTTTGTTTATCAGGGAATGAAATAATAAAAAAGGTGTGTTTCTCTCCTCCTTTTGATAGGGAAGTAACACATGGCCTCCCCAGACATCTGAGCTTTCTGGCCCACCTGATGATTATGATTTTATTTGTACTACTTCACTTTAAAAAAAATTAAATAAAGGACCTCCCTGCAGACCACATTTAGACAAAGGGACATAAAGTGTAGTGCTATGCATCTAATGAAATACATCCACAGTCCCCTCCTGCGGTACAGAGCTCCTGGCCACAGGGTAATTGAAAATATGGAAAGCTGCCACTGGAGCACACAATAAAAAATACAGACCTTTTCAAAGTGAAAGAAGATAGAAATAAACAAAGGGGGGGAGGGGGGGGAAATCAGTGTATTTAAGTAACAACAGTACTTGCTCAGCTAACTCCTGAAGGCCTTGCCTCCCTCACCTGAGTACAGACAGCATCAGGTAATTCAGAATGAGGGGTGTTATTCAAGGATGTAATATTACACACACCACACGCTACAGTGTTGTAGCTATTCATTTTCTGCCTACAGAAATGCTCCTTTCTGCCTCCTGTCCCTCACCCGGGACCCGGCTCCAGACAGGGCCGGCCCCAGCCGAGGCATTCCTCCAGCCCAGGGGACCACATCACACCACACATTTCCTGGCCCAGCTCTGCTCAAATGTGGTGACAATTTACACTTTGGCCATTGTCACCAG